TAAGAGGGGCTTCTCTTGCTAGGTCATCTTGTAGGTTTCCCAATCCGCAAAATCCATTCAATTAATTCCTATACTTACTCCCCGAGAATAGAGCATGGTATATTTGTATGATAATCTTTCCTAAGTGATAGAATCAATAATTTAAATTGCTGTATAGCTGGAAATTTTCTCCCAACACCTTGCGCTCTAAATGGTTACCTCGAGGTCACATGACATCTAACAATGAAACTGCTTCCGGCTAAAATCTCTCAACGGTCAACATTGCTAAATATATGACGTCAGAGGGTAACAGTGCACTGTTTAGCCGCAGATGTTGACCGACGACCGCCCGTTTCAGCAGGGTTTAATGAATTTCCAGCTTCAAAATTTCCTGCTATATAACAAATCACTTACTGATTGGTCCCTCGGGATACTGTTAGTTTTGTTTCCCTTGAGTTTCTCGGGGAAGAAAATTAACTTTTTCCCTCGCGATCAGTTGTTAAGTGTTTAATATGGTATTTTTGATTGCTACTGTTCAAAATGGTATGCAGCATGAATTGATATTTATTAAATTACTGTCATTTTATTTATTTGATGCAAGAAATGGATAATCTCATTTTTGCCACATATTTCACCTAGGTGGATACACCAGGTCCGTTCCTACGGTTCGCGTAACCTTGCTGTCAATATATGGTGGGCACATTTCACGAACTTCAACCATACAGATTGTGAAGTGAGTCCTCACAAAGACAAAGAATTAGTTCCCCTTAGTTTGTTTGACTTCCATCCCAGTGAAGCAATTAGGTAAGTGCGTATTTTAGTTGCAATCATACTGTACTACCACAGGGGGCCTAAGCTCGAAATATGGCTCTATTTCGTAACGTTCAAAATATGGGAGAAAAAGCAATTGTTTCTACAGCCTACGAATGTGAAAAAATTTCAATAGAAATCGGCTAACCTCACTTAAGTTGTGTGTTGCTTCTTTCCTGTGTAGTTTCCGAGCCGATTTATGGCCATTTGATGTGTGTTATTGGAACTGGTTGGTTCCAATAGAACCCATTAAATGGCCATAGTATCAAGGTTTTACACGTAGAAAATAATTAATTAAATCCCCCAAAACTGTTAGTACCGATCCCTCTGTATTATTAATTATCCACCGTATATTGTCTTGCTCAGTACATGTATGAATCACTGCCGCCACACCGACCCCCCATATGTTCTGTATTACTTGCGTATTTTCCCATTCCTCTCTTTAGTATATCTTATTCTTTTTCTCCTTTATACGAAATGAAACTGTTTCTAAGGTTATGTTCACGCTATACCAGATAGCTTTTGCACCGCCACGAAAATCATACCGACTAGGGCTTCTGTTCGCACATAAGAACGGTTGTGGTGGCGCGATTACTGTAACGGATCGAAGCTGCGCCCCGCCGATCCGTAAAGTGGAGGGTCACATTATCGGATAGGTGTTCACACAATACCGGATAGATTTTCGTGTCAGCACCAAAAGCTATCCGTGAACATAGCCTAAATTAAAAGGGCATATAATTAGCTTCATGATTCTTGCCCTTTTCCATTCAAGCTTGTCACAGATTTATTTCTTTAAATCTGTTGTCCTATGAAATATGTGGAGAAAAGAAAATGCCACTACACTACAATCCAAGTGAACATAAAACTGTCAAATTTAAGGCCATGTCCACACGAATCCGGATACGCTGAAACCGCGTTCTTGCAGCTTAAGCAACGACGACGGCGGCGGCTGCGAAAACGTCACTTATTCCATCACGTTCAATTTGTCAAACCACACGAATACGCTATGCGATTTACATTTCCTCATTGCTAGCTGGTAGGCATGCGCAAACCGAACCCGTGATGTGATTTCGCGGCATTTTTGAATGTTGTTGCTATTTTGAGTACCATGACCAGGCGTGCCTGTACATTGTCCCACCAGGCAGGCACTTCTTCGCCCTGGACGAACCCAAATCTTCCTTGACGAGGTTCAGAGTGAAAACGTTTTACACGCCTTTGTCTCGACCTAAAAGATTCCATAGTCTAGATGCGGATTAAGTCTTCTTTTGAAATGGCTAATTGTTGTCGTCAAAATAGCAAACTTGATTTCAAACGGCGATAAGAGCTAGCAAAATTGCAATCAAAACATTGTTGTCAGCCATTTTCAACTTGAAAGTTTTCATTTAAGACTGGACCCGAGTTTATAACGTAGTTGACCTCAAGGATATCCGTTTTCAGTCGTCCACACAAATTCACCAAACCCGTCGGATCAAAAAAAAATCCACCCTAGGGAGCGGTTTCAAAAAATATGCGGTTTCGGTGTACGGATTCACTGGTTCCGTGTGGATGGAATGCCGATTCATTAAGAAAACTAGGCCGTTTCAAAAGTATCTGGATTCACGTTGTGTGCCATCTCTCTTAAAATCCGCTTGTTTAAAGTTAATTTCAAGTAAAATTATTGCATTTTAATGTCAGGCAAGCTGCTTTGGAAGTTACTGGTGGAAAAACAGTAACCTTGCAGGAATGGACTAAACTAATGGAGGTGAGAAGAACTGAACCGCTAAACAAAGTGAAGGAGACTAGAGAATGCTTTATTCATCTTTAACATTTTTAAAATACCTTTTTAACTGTCTAGCATCTTCTGAAAGGATAGTGTTGTTTGAAGTGTTTAAGCTTTTCTTATTTTTTTAGAAATTAGTTTGTAACGAGGGTTTAATGGTGTATCAATATTATCTTGTATCAGGGTTTTCAAAACTTGCCGACGCCCGTCGCAAGGTGCCGGCTACTTGCCATGTTCGCGTCGGGTACTTTTGTGCCGAAATTTCAGATCATTAATTTAAACAGTGAAACACTACGCTTATACTTTCTATCATGGCTTAAACAAAATAAAATGTAAATGATTGAAGAAAGTTGAAGAAAAAAAAATCAATGGAATTTTTTGATGATGTCGATTTTGACCTGTTAAAAATCACGTTTTGAGCCCTGAAAATGCACCAGAATACATCTTTGGACGTTCAAATTTTCAAAATTTCCCGGGGGAGGTCCCCCGGACCCCCTCCCAACAGGAGGGGGACTCCCCCTCCCGTACCGGCGCTGCTCCGCGGCGCATTAGTGAGTCGGATACAATTCAATTTCCTCCTGCTACTTTTTATAAAAATGAAAACCCTGTTGTATGTACGTAACAATGTATATTTTCATCAGCGTAAACTAAAATAATGGTAAGTGTATTCAGAGTATGGCTGAAGTTGTCGTTGTTATTTCCTCAGGCTGATTATCCTGGTGTAGTGATCAAAGAGTTATTAGAACAGGTAACTGGTCGTATTGTTTTACCGCTAACAATGAATTAGACACTAAAATTAGCCTTAACTTAGCGTCAAGTCTGGTTCAGACGCCGACCTTTTTATGAGCCGAACCTAATATATCGAACTAGGGTATCTAAGAGATAGTAATGCTGCGGCACATTCTGTTGATACTGGCATTAGTTAGGCAGTGAGACTTAATAGAATCGAAAATGACATTGAATGTCCTATTTACATGTTGGAAAGTACTAGAATAATTACTATCAGTCTATAGAAAGAACTCGTGGGAACGTTGTTTAGAAAATGATCAAGTTCAAGTAGTTAGACTAGTTACAACTCTGGTTTTCCCACAGTAAATTGTAGGAAATAATAGAAATTCAGATTGTTTATCCATATATTTAATATATGGTGCACGATATTTTCTCTGGAAACACAATACTTTTCTTGCTGTTTGTTGTACTTTATTAAGTAACAGTTATTTAGCTATATATTTATAGAAAACAACAACACGAAAAACGGGAAAAAAAGAAAGAAGGAATAAAGAATTCGGTGGGACTCGGACCCTGCACCTTCGGCTCGACGCGACTACACCTAACCACTGCACCACAGAGGCTGATTACGTAATTGTCAGGAAAAGTCTTTTATTTTATTCCTTTTCCATGAAACTTCCGCCGGCAAGATGATCGCCAGCCGCATTAACCGAGCTATTAACAGTGAAAAAACAATGTAAACGCATATTCCATGGCAATGAATGAAAGAAAAAACATAATTATGCTTTTCAAAACGCCGATACACGTCCTCGTCTGCAAAGTAGGACACAAAACATATGTTTTGTTATCTCGATTTCCGCGGTTATTTTGAAGCGAATGGTCAAAATCACATCCACTTTCGGCTCAAACAGTTTCTTAAGAATAGCACTGCATGACATTTTCTCACTTTCACATCACTTTCTAGCAAGCTGGAATTTGTATATCCCCCCGTGTTGCGGAGTCGAAGAGCAATTGCTCATCTTCTCGTCAGGTTTAACACCTGGACGAGTCAAAGGCTCTTGAATTGAAATCCAATCCCCAAGTTAACGATCGTACTCATCTGTAAGACTCCTGCGTGTCTTAAAATTTGGTAAGACCTCTAACCGTGCTGTAGAAAATTTGCCACAAAGAAGACTCTAAGTCTGAGCAGCGAACGATGCACTCTCTCACCCACCGAACTTCCCCGTGTTTTTTTGTTGTTGTTGTTGTTCGTGGCGCAATGCACTCTGGTTAAATGCAATGCATTGTGGTAAAAAGTGTGGTTAAATGCAATGCATTGTGGTAAAAAGTGATGAATTCGAGAATTCGTCGCCCCTTATATATTTCCTTTAAATCCTGATTATGTTGCTGCTCGCTCCCTTCGGTCGCTCCGCAGCAATTAAGTGCATGAAAAGTTCGGCGTCTCAATCAGTTAGGAACGCCTATTTGAATTTGGAACAGCTTAGCTGTTCTTCCCTCCTAGTCCGGCCGGGAATTTCGCCTTTGGAGCGACTTTGAAACGCCTTTGATTCAGACACCGAACTTTTCATGTGCCTAACGCTTAAATTACAAGAACGTATTTTGCGAGCAGTTTGACCGAAATGAGCATTTTTCTCCTTTTGAAATTAGTTCGACTGGAATTGAGATCGGCGTCTGAAACAGTTCTGCCGGTCTAAATAATTGAGGTCGGCCTTAATTCGAATCATCAGGTTCGGCTCATGAAAAGTTCGGCGTCTGAACCGGGCCTACGACCTGGTTCAGACGCCGTACTTTTCATGTGCCGAACCTAACTAAATAAGTTCGACTTTGAAGCGACACGGGGGCGACATCTTATTCAGACGGCGCACCTTGTGTCGAACATAAGTCAGCATAGGTTAAGTTCGACAAAAGTTCAACCACTGGCAGTCCGGGCTCGAAATATGAGCATCGGCGAGTATCGCCATTGTTGCGTAACATTCGAAACATAAGGATTTGTATGGGGAAAAAACCTATCGTTTCTGTAACCTACGAAAATGAAAGGATTTGAACAAAAAACAGCTTACTTTACATAAAATGTGTGTTACGTGTCTCCTGTGTGGTCCATGGGCCGATTTATGGCCGTTTTGGGCTACCTATGGTTCGACAGACTCTGTCGAACTTTTGCCGCACTTAACTAAAACTGCCTTACCAAATTGATTCAAACGCCGCTCTTTTGCCGTACTTAATTCATCAGTTAGGTTCGGCACATGAGTGGATCAGCGTCTGAACCGAACCTAACTCTCACCTGCTGCCGTTCGATTCTCGTACGCGACCACATCCTGTTAGCAAACACTAAGTCATTACATTTTTGGTGATCGCTCATGGGAGGTTCGACTGTGAGTGATTATGTTTCTCATTTTAAAGTTCATAATATAATTGCATATGTTTTGTCATCCGGTTGTTAGAATTTCAATGAAATTGATGCAAACAAAGATGGCTATGTATCTCCTGAGGAGATCCAAGAAATAAAATATGAAGATCTTCAGCGACTTCTGAATGGTCCAGCGGACGAAGAAGAGGAAGAAGAGGAGGCAATCGATCCATCAGAGCTCCCTGAAGGAGAAGAAGAAATATCACAGACTGAAGATTTAGCAGATGAGGATGAAAAAACGGATGCTACTCACACTGAACTCTGATGAATACATAGTCAGCTTTTGGAGCTAAGTGTGAACGGACGCAACAACTCCCAGCATCGTTGGCCTAACAATGTTAGCGCAACAACTCCCAACAACACACAACAAACGGACGCAACATGTAACATCCAACGATGTTGGGAGTTGTTGGCCAACGATATTACGTCCTTATGGCCAGGTTATTCTATTATCGCCAATTCTTTAAACACACTCAAACCTCTGTTAAGCGGCCACTCGCCAAACTCTCTTCCAAGCGTTCACGGTCACTTTGTGGTACCAGTAGTGATTTTAAGATGCCACGGCGCCGACGGCAACGGAAACAAGAACGTCAAAAAAGCAGTAGGCTGCAAATAGGAAAAACAAAAACTGTGCACGTGAAGCACACTTTTTTGGTACATTTCTTTTCCGTCACTGCACGATTACGACGTGAAAATGCTTAGTTTCACCATAGTTATTTAAGTGGAATGGCTCGGAAACCCGTTTGTTCGCTCGGAAACCCGTTTGTTATATGTTTTTGTTAACTTTTTTGGAACTGACCGTGCACAACGTTCAATAGCATTCCTATCATTTTGAACTTATTGACCAATAGAAACATCGCATCAATTTATTCAGTCAATTTGTGAACAAAAAACAGAGGATTGTGGACGGTCAGGGAGCTTCCAACATAAACCACAGCACCACTGTTTTCAACATTGATGTTTGCCGGCTTCCAAAACCAGTCTCCTCCACTAGCTATGGTTTCACGTTTTCAAGAGGACGTAAACAAGCGAAGACGAAATTTTCTTTCTCTTTCTGAACTTAGAGGTGACTCTTAGGAGTTTAACTCCTAAAGAGTTCCCTTGAATTTGACAAAGTAGGCGAATAATAATCGCGATAGAGATTGAAACAACACGAATTCACTTTTTAAGCGATGTTTTCCCCGTCCTCGCCGTCGTGGTTTCTTAAACTCCCCAGCTGCCTTCGTGGCAGGTGTTTGAAGATGAAACGTAAAAGAGGAATAAAGACGCGGGAAAACGCCTTGACTCGCGCGTCTTAATAAACGCCTGCCTCGTAGCCTTGGTTCCCCCCTCTCCGCAAGCATTGGCTGCTAGCAGGGATCCTTGGTCCCTGTAGATGGGTTATAATTTTGCCTGTCTTATTCTCAAGTGAGTGATCCTTTGCTAAAATGTACCACAATTCAGTAGCAGTACGCTAAATTAGTACATTTGTGAATGGTCTGTAAGCAGTGCCGGATCCGGAACTTGAGATAAGGCGGGGGCCTCGGTCATCCAGACCCTTAGATAAGGGGACGGGGAGGCGGGGGGGGGCGGTCTCTCAAAAACTTTTTTCGGCCCTTCGGGCCTCAGTTTGGCAAAAAATAAGGGGGGCCGGGCCCCACAGGCCTGTCCCCTGGATCCGCCACTGGTAAGGGTCTCTTTAAATAGTTCTTTTCCTTTCACGCAGAGTGAGTTAGAGAACCTACAGAAAGTATTTTTTTTGTGATGGATACTTCTCCATTTTCTTTACTTGATAACTTTTGGGCTGGATAAACCTGCGATAGTGGTCACTTGAATTTTTCCGAAGGGTAGCCGCTTGTAATTAAGGTTTGGCTTTCCTCTGCGTGTAAAAGTTCAATTTAAGCGAACATAATGGCAACAATGTTTTACATTAAGAAGAAGGTACAGTGTGACGATATGCTTATTTTCTGTTACATTATATATTTTATAAGAAAAGCTAACTTAATATAAAGTAATGTAATATATTCAATTTTGGATACACAGATTGGCAACATAGTAATGGCCTGGGCATTTAGACGCAATTGTATTGTAATTGTACATTTATAAGAAACAACTAAAGTATCGTTTAAAACAAATTTTTTGTAAGTAATATTTAAGGCAAGAGTCGTTTCAGTATAAAATAAAAAGTTTAAGAATATTTAAATATATTTCTATTGGTAAAGTACATAATGAAACATTGCTTTCAAATTCAGAAAGTGTTCTTTTGACTGAATAAATATCCAGTGCGCCGGTTGAAAGTGCATGCACCAAAATTGTTGACGTAATATGTAATCTAAATTAATTTACTAAATTTCTTGGAACTTGACTCGAAAAAGTCAAAAATGGCTTGAAATGTGGGGACATGTTAGCCAAACCTTAACCTGTAGTACAAATCGGAAATACTGGCGACGGCAAGACGCAAAAGGTATTTTACGTCGACTAGTTTCGCAGTTTGCAGTTCACTTAGTAACCTTTGTTATGCAGAATACTAAACCTTGGCTAACCTCTACTGAATAGATGGCCATTGTTAGCCATCTACTGTCCACTGGTGCGGAAAACAAACCACCAAAGACCTTAGACGCGACCTCAGAGGGGGTGTTCCGGATTTTAAGCGACGAGGATGATCGAAGGATTTTCTTGGGTTTGAAATTTTCGATTCCGGGATTTCTTGGGATTGTAAAATTTGACAAGTATTTTTTTGGGTAGCTTGATTTAAGTAGGTGTTTGCGGGATACTGTATTTAATATTTATTTCTAGTTGTTTCATCCTCTGCTGAGCCACTAATTCATCGATCCCATTAGACCAAGGCCCAACGCGCGCATCTAATGTACTACAAATTTAACTATAGTGTAAATTATTACTTATTTTTGGGACTTGACGGTGCACAACGTTTGCGTTCCATCATTTTGAACTTACTGACCAACAGAAACGTTCAAAAAAACAAAAACAAAAGATTGTGAACGGTCAAGGAGCTCCCAACATAAATTGCACCACCATTCACCATCTTTTTGCCACTTTTCATAACCCGCACGGGACGTAGGGGCAATCAGCAAAGTTTTATACGGAAAGACTCCAAACTCTTACCCCTTTATATACCATTTAAGACAGAGAATGTACCCCTTTCGTGTTCATTCTACTAACAATTGGTACCCCTTTCACAGATTTTAACCGCTGTATTGGCATCGTCTTTTTAATATGAATAACTCACTAATCACTGAAGTTATGAATGTATGAAAATCATATATGTGAACTGCGGAGTGAAGAATTAAATGAAGGATGATCATCGCAGTTATATACGCAACTTTTGCAGTTGCGCAAAGAAAGCCTGAAAACAATTCAGTCTTGTATAGGATTCGAACTCTTGACCTCTGCGATGCCGGTGCAGCGCTCTACTAATTAAGCTAACAAGCCAACTGGGAGCAGGTCGTTGAATAGGTTCGTTGTAAACCCGCGAAAGGATGATGATGACGTTAATAAACGAAACTGCGATGATCATCCTTCCTTTAATTCTTCACTCCGCAGTTCACATATACGATTTTCATATATTCATAACTTCATCATCAACATTTCACAGGTTTATGACGAACCAATTCAACGACCTGCTCCCAGTTGAATAGGTGGTTTTCATGCAATCTCGGGAGACACAAATAACAATGGTGAACTGAACAAATGCTGGTGGAAAAACAAAGCGAGCTAATGAGCCATCTTTTGTGTACCGTCCACCAGCTTGGCGGCGATGACGTAACAACCACCTATTGTTAGCTTAATTGGTAGAGCGATGCACTGGTATCGCAGAGGTTAAGGGTTGATCATCCTTCATTTAATTCACTAATCACTCTCAGTAATTTTACAGACGCAAATGACAGATTCCCCTACCCTTTCATACACTTCAACTAGTGAAATCGCTACTCTTTCATCGTGACCTGAAACCCGGTTAAAAACGTACCCCTTTGCGGGGATGGCCCAGGGGTATGAGCACGATCCGAAATACTCGCTCAGTAATTATGCGCGCTTTTCGGGGCAATTTTTTGTAATGGTTTTGTAGAATAAGATTGTAATGGGAAAAAAGATCGTTGTGCCGTGTTTGGATAAAATAATGATCACCTTTTCCCGAGAAATATAAAGTGAAAGACCATACCAGTGTCTACCGAATGTCCACAAAATTAATATCAATTCTATGTTCACTAGCTGTTTAGAATCAGTATCTGACTTCTTCTCCTTACTTGTAGTTGGTTGCACTAGAAGCCTTTCCCGGCATGGGAGCCTTTCTCTTACGTGTTACTATTTCCCCATCATAGCCCTTCAGAAAGAGCGTGGAATGGGGATGACTGTCAACTGGTCTTTCATATTTAAAATAATTAGAGCAAACTCCAGAAGTATTTTTGCTCACCTTAAAACAGCTTAAAACCCTTCCGCCTTAGACGTCTCGCCCAAGTAGCAAGTGCCTTAGGTCCTTGCAAAACCAGAAACGTATTTCTAGTTTTCCTCCGAAGAAACTGGTATTGTCTTTCAACATATATTTCTCGGGAAAATATGTAAAAGATTATATATAAAAATTTTGGAAAATTGGACTCTCTGAAACGCCATATCCTGCATTCCCTGGATCGAACGCAACTAATTTTACGTGTATTTTGTTGAGCTTTTCTCAGAATCTTGTTATTCATGATTCCCGAGCCGAAGAGTAAAGATTTTTTAAAACAAAAATTCATAATTCTTACATGTTTTGTAAGTATGATTCATGATGCATGATTCCACTCCACCCCCGACACCAGGGTCTCTCTTCTTCCCGTCCCTTGAGCGAGGTTGGTCGCTCTTTGCACGAAGTTTCCTCGACGCTTATTTTGAGTGATGAAAATATGGCAAATAAATAATCTGAATTTCAAAAATATGGTTCAATTTACATCTGGTGTTTTTTTCGATCCATGTTTCCCAATATACAGGATGAAAAAAGTAAGGTAAAAAACAGTGTTTATATAAGGCACCGATGGGATTCGAACCCATGCCCTCCTGTTTACTAGACAGGCGCTCTAACCAACTGAGCTACGGCGCCTCTCGGTTCACATTTTCCGCACTTTTTACACATCATGGATCTTAGAGTGAAACTCTACGGACCCCCAGAATCACCACTGAGGATAGACATAGGAATATCATATTCGAACATTTCAGAATCCCCCCGAAATATTCTTATAAGCCTATTTAGTAGCTGCTTGGAGAGCTGTGAGTCAGGAAAAAAGGAATCTTTAAAGAAGTCTTTGAAGGTTTAATCCCTGGAAGCGATATGTCCGCTTGTTTCAAGCCAGAAATTTCCAAAACATGACAGACTTCTTTTTCGAGATTTTCAAATCCACCAATGAAGTCATAATCGATTCCACAAGGATGACAAAGTAAGTAAGTAAGTAAGTAATAACTTTATTTAACCACGGAATCCTTATCACTAAAAAGTAGTCTTCTAAAGAGCCGTGCACATTAAACTAAGACTTAAAAATAACAAACATTATTGAAAAAATCCTAAAATAAATGCCTACTAAGAAAACCTTAATGTACAATAGCGGAATAAAAACAATTTAAAGTAGTGGCCTGCTTAGCCTCAACTGACAGGCTGTTCCATGTTACTGGGCCCCTATAACGAAAACTTTTCTTTAGGGCCTCAGTGTTCGGTCGCAGAATAAACAGGTTATGTTGCGCACCTCGAAGATTATGCCTGTGAATGGTATTAATGTTGGCGAATTTATCAGGCAGGTATTCGGGTACAAGGTTATTTACAGTTTTAAACATGAAAGATTTCAGTTGCTTAGCACTTCTGTCAGCGAGGCTATCCCATTTAAGGGCATGAAGAATCGGGGCAGAGCTAGCATCCCAGCTAGACCCTGTAATTATGCGTGCAGCCCTGTTTTGTAGTTTCTCTAGTTTTTGGCTGAGACCATTACCGATACAGCCCCAGACAGCGCAGCAATAATCGAGATGCGGAAGAATCAATGACTTGTAAATAGTGACAAGGGTACTCTGGGGTCATATTGGTCTTAGCCTCCTCTGGGCAGCTAGTACTTTTGCAACTTTACCGATGACTTCGGAGATGTGAGCGTCCCACGAGAGTGTTTCATCAACCTGAACGCCTAGGCATTTGTAACTATTGACTCTTTCAATTGAATGCCCGTCGAGGGATATGTGCGGATCGCTAGGGAGCAAAGAGATTTTTTGCCTCTTGCCTGTAAACAGACATTTAGTCTTGAGGATATTAAGACTTAGACGGTTAGAATCGAGCCATTGCTTCAGATTGCCGAAATCATGAGTCAGGGATGAAAACAACTCATTAGGGTCTTTGGAGGCAAACGTGAGATTAGTGTCATCGGCGTACATTCTCACATCCGAAAGAAGGTTACAGTTAGGGAGATCATTAATGTATCATAGAAATAGTAGGGGGCCGAGGATTGAACCTTGAGGCACCCCACAACTTATGGAGCTAGTTTCGGAATTTACGTTGTTTATAACTGTAACCTGAGTTCTATCTGAGAGGTAGTCTCGGAAAAGATTGAGACTAAGACCTTTAAACCCATACAGCTCCAATTTTGACAGAATCGAAGGATCTCATGGTCAATAGTATAAAAAGCCTT